GGCAGTAAGCTGGCAGTGCTGTGTCCTAACCCGTTGCGCCACTAGGGAGGGCCCACGAACCCTTTTCAAAATTATTTTTAATTTCTTTCTTTGTACCTATTTTACATGAGGTGTAGTCCCCACAGAATTTTTCAAATTCACCTGTGCGCCCTCACCTGAGTCCTCGAGCTCCTCATTCCTGCATTCTGTAACTTCTCCCTCCCCTCCCTGCAGATTGTCTCTGATTTATAGTTGTGTGGTTACTTTTTTAAAAGTTTTGTTACACTGTTGGCTTTTTTAAATTGTTATTATTTCTTACTTGACCCCTTCATAAGTTTCCCTATATTCCTCCTATCTGATTAAAGGTCATCTGTGTTGTCTTTGTGTGAAGGGCCTCTGGCCCATGAAAGGCTTCATATCTGCCCTCCCTTGGCGCAGGGGGTCAAGGTGCACTGGGAAGCGTCCGCAGGGACTGCAGTCCGGGTCTGGGGCCTGGGAACCAGAAGGGAGAGGCGCATTAGCAGAGGAGGCACAGAGGGGTCTGCTCAGGAGAGTCTGACAGAGATTATTGTTTCAGGGAAAGTTAATACAGCATGAGCTTCACAGTGTGTTTTGGATGCATGCAATATTCATTACACAAAGATGTGACAAGCAGGAGCTGGCCTTTGTGGGCTTAGCTAGAACACATTACAATAACAGGAACATTATCACACAAGCACATGGGCCCAGAATTCACTAGCTCTGTTCCTGATCAACTTGCTATGGGATACTGAGAACAAGTCAGTTGCCATGCTAACACTTGCCCTGTGTCAAGCTGCTGGCACAGCACTGTCAAAGGAGGACCATGATCTCTCCGAGCCACTGGCCACGTCTCCGTGGAGAGTTACACCGGCCTGTGCCAGATCTTCTCACAACTGCAACACCAGTGAGATCCCCGGCCAGGGAGCTGACCCACATGGCCCAGTAGGCTTCTCCGGACCCACCCTCTGCTCCCCTCAGCACCACCCTGTTCTGCTCCCCACTCTGTCTCTATTGAGTCCTCTCACCCTCCACCCCCATACCTCTGGCCTGTGCCCCATTTTTGTATGCATAAATAAAGAAATCTTTAAAAATAAGATGAAGGCATTCATATGCTTTCAACAACAAGAAAAATCAGTGGATGTTGACGTCACAAAGTGAAGATGAGAAGAAATCCTGCGTCACTCAGTCCCATGGGTGGCTGCCTCACACTGTGAAGGAGACTGATCAGGAACCAAATTAGGAAAGTGTCGACATTCTCAATATTCTACCAGATCCACAGAATGCCTGGGTCACAGCTCCTCCATAACTTGGTCCCTGTCTCTGCCCCAGCCCTCCCACATGGGTCCCAGGGTCTCACCTTTAGGGGCTGAGAGACACATCAGGGTCCTGGGCAATGTATCTGACTGGGGGAGAACAACACAGACCTGGTCAGAGCCATGAGAGACTGATGGGGTGACTCCCCCAGGGGCTCCATCTACACTGTCCCAGGGGCTCAGGGACCAAACCCCTGACCCACACTTACACATAGTCAGAGTGCAGCTTGCTCTGCGTCTTCCTGTGGGAAGAAACATCTTGTGAGACCACAAAGTAGTTGAGCCCTCAAGTCCTAAATGAGTCTGGGCCACAGGGAAGTTTCCAAACCTGTGCCTGAAGACCCAGGGCAGGACCAGAAAATATAAAGAAAGGACATGAGGGGGGAATGGACCAACAGCCTCTTGGGGTCTGTCCTCAGCAGGCACCTTCCCCTCTGTCATCTGCTGGGATAAGGTCCCATCAGCAGAGTTATTAAGGTGAACAAGTAGTGATTCATTTTTATAAGTTGGTTAAAACAAAGTGAGTATTAGCAATCAGCGCCTGACTAGGCAATAAATGTGACAGATACTTCTCATTAACCAGGCAGGGCAAGGTCTCCCTGTGACTTGAAACCCCCAGTGGACAGGATCCCCCACTCCCTCCCTACCTGAGCGCTTCTTCCTCCACATCACAGCTGCAGCCACCGCAGACCCAGCGAGCACAGCTCCAAGGAGAACCAGGCCAACAATGAGGACCATGGTGGGGATGGAGGACTGAGGAGGGGATTCTGGGAGGGAAGAAGAGGGGAGACCTTGAGCCCCAGGCTTCATCCTTACCCTCTGAGGGGTCCAGCAGGACTCCTGATCCTCCTAAGAAGATCCTCTGTGACCACCTTCCCCTACTCACCCCATCTCAGGACTCGGGGCTCAGGCAGCCCCTCATGCTGCACATGGCATGTGTATCTCTGCTCCTCTCCAGAAGGCACCACCACAGCTGCCCATTTCTGGAAGGTTCCATCCCCCCCAGGCCTGGTGTCCACCAGCTCCATGTGCTGGGTCAGGTCCTGCCCATCTCGCTGCCAGGTCAGGGTAATCTCCGCAGGGTAGAAGCCCAGGGCCCAGCACCTCAGGGTGACCTCATGTTCGGAGGTGGGGTGGTGGGTCATGTGTGTCTTTGGCATGTCTGAGGAGAACAGTCAGACTATTTACTTTAGGTTTTTCTTTCTTTTTAAGATTTATTTATTCATGCATAGAAGAACTTGGTACAGACAATAAGTACGGGGGGAGCGAGAATTCACTAGAGACAAAGTGGGAAGCAGAACGGGAAGATCAATGAAATACACTGCTGAGGGGAGCAGTAGGCGGGTCAGCAGCTATCTGCCAGGCCATGTGGTCACCTCCCCGACCAGGGATCGACTAGATCTGCAGTGGCTGTAGAAGCTTCCTAGTGCTGCCCTTGAACCCTTTGCACCACCAGGGAGGCCCCTATGTTGGGTTTTTCCATCCCAGA